ATAAGTAAACCATCGATCTTCACTGCTCCTAGTAAGATGCATCCTGTCATTAGAGACACAAGTGCGTAACTGTGCTTGGCAGCGTTCGAACTTCGAAAGTTGAAACGCAGTTTTAGGGCACGCTGGTGTGTGCATACGCAAGCACAATGATATCACTCCCCAGGCCGCAAGCGTTTCTGCTGCTGGCAGGCTGCGCTCGGTCTGAGCTCCTCTTCCATCTGCTTCATCCTTGGAGCTGACTGCTGTGGCTACTCACAGGGTGATTTTGGCAGCAGGAGGGTGCAGATGCCCAGTTTGGGAATTAGTTTTTGAAGCAGTGGCATCTGGGTGTCAGCTTGTCTTCCCAGCTGGTCTCTTCAGCGGTCTTGTCTGGCTAGACTTCTGGTTCTGCTGGCAACTCAGAAGTTGGGGTCAGTCTTTGTGGCTTGCTGGCCTTCTCAGTAGAGCACTTTCTATGATCAGTGCCTCTGAAGGAGCTAAAAGCTATCTTCATATAGAACTTTAAAAGTAAAATCACTCTGGAAAATCTCATGAAATTCACATAAAACCCCCTACAAAATGACATTTAATAATGTGATAGGGAGAGATTTCCATTCTCATTCAAAATTTCTGCTTTGCTCTACTTTCTTCATTGCAAAATAAAGGTTCATAAAGTCTGGAATAATTTTCAGAAGATATACCAGAACGCCTAAAATTACTCATGTACGGGGCATACTCTTTAATATATCGGTGAAACAGTCACCATCATTCTTACAGCAGATAGATCAAAAGGCATTTCAGTCACAATACCTCCAGCTCTTACAGCTGTCAGCAGTGAAGTGAAAGAGGAACTGAAAATTAGTGTTTCTTCCTCCAAACAGGACAGAAATGAAACACTTTGTTCTAATCAAGGAATTTTTGTTATATGAAGGGGAATCCCTGCAGGCACTGTTTCCCCTGTGAATATGTAAATAGTGGAAATAAAAAATGCTCCGGAGCTTGGAAAACCCGCAGTAGACAAGTACATTGCCTTGTTTTTGGCTCTCTCTTGATTTGCTACCAATTCTGAATGCTACCTGAAGACTAACTTTTAAATTTACTATTTTCTCATGCTTCTGACAGCACTGGTGGAAACAGAGTATAGCTGATCCCTCGGGTATCTCACAAATTCCCTTTCAGTAGTCATGTTTGTGTTCAGAGGGAGTTTGATAGTTAGCTGAAAATTGAAATATGTGTGCAGTTGCAGTAACAAATGTATACAGGCTTTGTCCACTGAACCCTTTTTCTTTTCACAGCACCACTATTCTGGAGGTTACAGAAAACTCATGTTGCAAATACAATCTAGTACATATGCAGAGATTGTGCTGTATTAAAATGAATATAATAGAAAATAAAGGAAATTATTGTAGCCCTGGATTTACTGTGAGATCAGGCCAGAATTTCTGTGTCTTATTTTAAGTGAATTTTTTCTACAAGAAAATGCATGCATAGTAATGAATTCAGGTAGAAAGCGAATATTATTTTGAGAAGAGGAGCATATTTGAAGTGTTTAAGTAGTCTAATTTTTCTACCTCTGAAAAGAATTAGGAATAAAGAAGATAAAAATATACCTCACAGTAATTTAATAATATATCTTACTGTAGGTATTGAAGGAATCAGCTGTTCAGCTACACTCACACAGCACTACTCAGGCATCAGATTAGACCCGGTTCCGTAATTCTATTTTCTAGTATAAAGCTGGTTCCCATTTGGGATTAGGCAAAGACATTCAATCTGTACTACTGTGAATGTTCAGGAGCTGGGTTTTGCTCTGCACAATGTGAATGATCAAAAGGACATTATTTTCAAAGTTACCAGGATATTTTTGGTTGGATTGTTCTTGATTATTTTTTGCACTTCAAAGAAGTGACTCTTGACCTTGAGGACTACCAAAACAATACTATCATGTGAACTTCCTGCCTTTTCTTGTTTTAAATAAACACACTGTCTATCCACTGAATTTTGATCACTGTGCAAAACCAGATGCTTTGAGTCATGCTTTATAAGTTTTAAGGGTTCTGCCCTTAATAGGGTGGACTTCTGTAGTTTGTGTTAATTTATGGCTTAACTAGCAGACTGAACAAATATAATAGTAAAAAAAGCAATGTGGTTTTCTTAATATTACAAATCCAGCCTTGGTTTTGCTGCTGTTTTCAGCAGTTTTGCTGCTGTTTTCCTAGCTTGCATATTTTCTATTCTAAAAAGGAAGTGTTGATTGTGTGAATAAAATTCAACATACTCTTCCATAGGATACTGACCCTTCAGTGAGTAAAGGGTAAAATGTAGTAATGTATGCATGTCATTTTTACTGGAGTAAATACCCAGAGTATCATTATATGAAAAAAGGAATTTTGCTGATTTAGAAGTACTATATACTCATTTTTTGGATGAGGCTTTCAGTAGAAGAGAACTGGAGTGGCAAAATCCAGTGGATAACTGTGTACAACAGGACGTGCACAATATTCTTTCCATGGCAAAAAGTAACTTGCTGTGTACTCTGCAACATTTTCTTCTGCCTTGGTACATATCTTCAGATGTATGACAGAAGGACGTAAGTAGTGGGAAACTCCTCTTCTGCAGACCCTTTCTTGGTGTCACTCGGTTTATATCATTCTTTCAAAAGAAAATAATGAAACAGTAGTGATACAAAATCCGTTATAGGTCTAACTGAACTATGAGGATTAGGTTGGTAAACATGAGATTGTTTTGTTTTGCTCTACAGCATAAGGTAATTTGAGTTGGATGCATGGTCATGTAGGCTAAGATCCTCAAAAGCAGTTCTCTCAAGCTTTCAGGACATTATACATGCAGAACTGTGGCGGCTTCTCTAAGAGCATAAAAACTAGAAAGAGAAGGAAAGCAGTGTACCCAACTACATCTTATATTTTGCCCTAGAGCTCTCTGCTAGCAAACCAAACAAACTGTTTTTGGGAATGAGGCTGCAGTTTTCCAGAACTGAAAAAGAACAGTGCCAAACTGAGAAAATGCAAAGCATTTCTGATTTGTGGTGGTTCCAAGGCAACAGACTATGAGTTGTCAGTTAAAAGTGAGGGTGGAAAGTCAAATTCAATGGGGAGCAAGGAGGATCATGATGGCACATAAGAAATGGCATTTTTCCTTACACATATAAAATCTGCTTCTAAGCAAGTGGGTTTTGTGGTGTGTGGTTTGGGGTTTTGTTTTGATTTTTTTTTTTTGTGGAGAGGAGCTTAACACGGAAGAGGAAAAGTGCCCTGTTGAATAATAAGGATTTGCTCGTTTGATTTATTTGAAAGTTGTTTGGAAAATATCTGCAGAGTAGGGAGACAAATGCAACTGAGCAGAAGAGACTTAGTTGCTGAGACTCTTATTAACTATTTAACTACTTGCTTTTCTTAAAAAGAGAGGAAATCTGGAAAGTACCTGTTTTGGAAACTCTTTTAAAAGAAAAAGGATTAACTTGATAAAATAACAAATATAGGGAATGTGGACTGCTTGTTCAGGAAGGCTGGAAAGAAAAGAAGAGAAAGAAGATGGCAATGCCAGATGGGAGAGATTCTCATAGGTTTTGCATTATTTTCGCAGTAAGATCCCTTTTTATGTTTAGTCACTTAAATAAGTGGGTATCCTCAACTTCTTTTTTGTGGATTTTCTTCCTATTTTGATTCTTTCAAAATGAATTTTTTATTATATATCTTTTGTTCAGATTTACTTATACTAGAAGATTTTTCAAAGTGCCTAGGTTCTCAATTTATGTCAAACTCCAGATTATGGAACATGAAACATTTTGTTTCTGAAGATTAGGATCTTAAGATATGAGAAATTTACTTGGAGCCAGTGATGCAACAGTAATATATGTTTAAGCTTACACCGCTGAGTGACATTTTTATAGGAAGTACGCAGCTGCATTAACTTCCACGTGTAGCCCTTTCCTGGTCTCTAGGCACCATTTTCTATGGTGAATTACAGAAGTCCAAAAGATAAATGGCAAATTAGTGGATCACCATGAGTAAAGCCTTCAGCTAGGAGAATATCATTTTAATAATAATAAAAAAAAGCTGTATCTGGCAACTGATGCTAATTGGAGATTTGAGTTCAATAAAGAGTAAATCAATACCCCTGAATCTGTGCATAGGTTTGAAGGAGAGTGCATGTAAACTCTGGAAACAGGTGGAGAGTATCTAATTATTTTTTTAAAATCACTTCTCTCAGCCAACTTCCAGTGCTAAAGTTTTACCACTTGCAGTGGATGCCGCTCCATGCCAAAGATCTGATCTTGTATTGCTGGCCGTGTCTTGCTTTGAAAAATGAAATACATAGTTGAGCGTTACTAGTGTGGTGTTCTTAGTAGAGCCTTTGTCAACAATTATTGTTCTCTTTATCTCTCATGTAAATTGAAAAATAAGGAGGCAAAAATCAATAGCTCCAGCGAAAGTAAAATAATAACCAGTCCCCTGTATATTTGGTGGAGAGATGATAAGACCAAAATAATACTGTCATTTCTCCTCCCTTTGTTCTAAACGGTTGCATTAGTATTATATTTTGCTGTGCCAGAAATTACCAAGGAGATTGCTTAAACAAAAAGAACAAGAACTTCATTCCATTTTATCTTTTTCTCCTTGCTGAAAGGACTGACAAAGTAGCAATCCTTGTCTTTCATTGATAGATAGCTGTACTCCTTCTACAGCTTCAATCTATATTTGAACTGCCATCTTTTACATCTTCACAGCACTGCATTGCAGTGGTGTAGGTAATGCACAGGCGATGCAACTGTGCCAGAGTCCCTTGGCCAGAAGGGTCCAAGTGCCAAGCAGGAAAGAAGGTGGGAGTGAGCACTGGTATTTGCCTGAATTGCCTTGCCTGTTGAACATATGAAACATACCCAGCTTTTAGTTTTTACATATGTAGTCTTTTGTTTTGTTTTGTTTGTTTGCTGGTCTTTATAGTTTCTTCAGAAGGATGCTCAGATAAACAAAGAGGCTCATTCTCATTATTGTTTGCAGGTTTCCAACCTGTACCTGTATGACAGTGTGCTCATGCTGGCCAATGCTTTCCACAGAAAACTGGAGGACAGGAAATGGCACAGCATGGCAAGTCTGAACTGCATGAGGAAATCCACCAAACCTTGGAATGGAGGACGATCCATGCTAGAGACTATTAAGAAGGTGAGAATAGACAAACCACAATGGTGTGAACAATTGAAAGAGTTGCTTCATTTCTACTTGAAATTAGCTTTTGAAGAGGTTTTTGACCTCTATTCAACTTTTCTTTGATTTATTACAAGCAAGTGATTTACACCTACCAGAATGATTTACGGCTATTAAACAAGCAAATGATTTATTACAAACAAATTACACACACTGCAGTGTTGCTCCAGCGGTATGTGTTCTACTTCTGTTGTTCTCTTAGCTACCTTCTGTGGAGGTAGTGTGATTAGGAATTGTCATACAAATTAATGTGCATGTGCATCATAATAATTTCCCCAAGAGAACTTAAGGAGCTCGAGGGGCCAACCAATGATAAGGTTTAAGACTTATGTTCCATTTACTACAGCTCAACTAGCTTCGTAAGTTAGCTGAGCATTGGTAAATATCTGTTTGTGTACTGTAGCCCAGAGCAAGAGGGATCTGATTTAGCTAAGTTGTTACTAACAGTTACACTGTCTTGCAGCATGTTGAATTATTCAAATACGGACAATACTGTGGCTTTGCAGATGCATGGTAACTTCTTGTATGAAAATTATTTGATCACAAATACTAGTGGAAAAAATACTTATTTTTTACTATACTAACTTTAGCAATTGTTTGGAAAAAACCCCTGTTTCTCCATATATATTGATGAAATGGTTTTCCTCTAGTAAAATGATGCAATTTGATCAAGTGTTATGTTATGCTCTGACCAGTCCTAATGACGCCATCCTTTGTTGCTAAATTAATTCAAACTTTAGTGTCATTTCAAGCTTCTTTGCTACAAACCCAAAATCAAACTCCGTGATACTTTCACAGAGAGGTTTTAATAATACTTAAAATTTTATCTTTTCTTCATGCCTCTCTTGGGAGCACAGCAGGCGTACTCTTTCTTTTGGACTTGGAGTTCATGCCTTAGTATTCAGCCCCAGAACTGAACCTGCTGCCCCCAGTTACACTGAAAGGGCTGTTGTGTCATGGTCCACCAAGGTCGTTCTCCTTTTCTTTGGGGTCTGGCTCCGTGAACAATGAAGACCTGACGGCTTTTGTCCACAATATGCAGTGGATGTGTTAGTGCTAAAGTAATTTTCTCAAAAAAAAAAAAAAAAAAAAAGAAGTCATCTTTTGTCTGCTGCTATGTTTGAGCTATTGAAGAACATATAATTGCCATATTTAAGTTCACTGTAAACATTTTCAAAGCAGATTTGGCATACCTTTGATGAAGAGGAGTGTTTATAAAGGCAAATTTGTTCTATTCTAAAATTTCTGAAACTTATTTCCTTAGGGCCATATAACTGGGCTTACTGGTGTTATGGAGTTCAGAGAAGATGGCGCCAATCCCTATGTTCAATTTGAAATACTGGGCACTAGCTACAGCGAAACATTTGGCAAAGATGTGCGGAGGGTAAAGATATGCTGCTTCTTTCTCTCTTTTGTTTTCCTCTAAATAATATACATTCTACTTCACAGGAGAAAATCTTATTCTTTAAGAATGAATTAATGTTACACTGCAGAAGAAATTTACTATAAGAGAAATATTTTCTAATGTCTTACAGACTTAAATCTTGAATGCTAATTTTATATTACTAGGCAGGAGTCCTGCAAGTTGTTTCCACATGTGCGGTAATGATGCAGTGCCATAACAATACTGTGAATATAACAGTGAAGACTGCACAGTTCTGCTCCTGTGTTTTATTGTTAATTAGGATATTATGGATGTAACTGGCACTTGTCTTACTAAGGAAGCTAACTGAGAATATAAATTACCTAAACACACAAAGATGTTTCAAAGTATAGCTGCTGCAAGAATTTGAGATAAATAAATAAAAATCTCTAGAGAAGATAATTTCCAAAATGGATGTTGCTCTATCGTGTAAAGTAAAGGATGTCCTGTCAATGGTAGCTGGTGGAACAAGGACTGATGGGGATTAGAAGGCAGTTAGAGTGGTTTCATGGGGTTACTAACATAAATTGTCATTGCCTGAGAAGGCTACCTTGAACATGTTCATGCAGAGGGTATGCTCCAAAAATACCTGAAACTCTCAATTGAACAGTGAGGTTCTGACCAGAACTAAGCTACAAAATGTCCCTAAACTGGTCAACTGGTTGAAATACAGACATTACCACTGTATGGTCAACAGGTCCTACATTAAGCAGAGCTGAACAAAAAGGATTCAGTGAAGAATTAAAATTTATGACATTTTCTATTTTCATTTGACCATTGGTTTCTGTGTTTTGTTTTGATTCACCTGAATTACATGAGTCTAAATGGAAAAACAAGCAGAGAACTTGTGTTTACGTTATCATCTTAAACAGCTAAACCTGAGATTCTTTCAGAGTCTAATTTGGCACGAGGATTTTCAACATGGAACCAAAGGCCTGCAATATCTATTAGAAATTCAACAGAAGGAAGAGAAGTATTTGAAATGCATAAAGATCTAGGAGATATAATTGAAAAACTTCTGTTGCCAAAAAATGTCTTCAGATTGGCTAGGCACCTTCACGTATTGTAATGACCAGAAAAGCTATTTCTCAGTCCACTTCCATTTCTAGAAGATTTCTACCGCAAATGAGGAAGTCTAAGTTCCAAACGTTACCCGAATTATGAAAAATTATCTTGATTTTGGAAACAGTGTTGCCTATTTAATAAAATGGATTTGGCTTAGGAGGTCTAGGAAGCAATTCCGGTTGATAAACAGAAGTATGCACCTCACTTTATGCACAAGTATGCAAAACAGAAGTATCCGGTGCCATGTGAGACGCTGTGGACTATCCTACTGTGTTTCCAGCTGCCACTACAGAAAAGCATGAGTGTCCTGTCAGTGCTGTGTTATCCCTAGCAGATGGATGCCATGGGGCATTTGAGTTTGGTTCCATTTTGTTACAGAATTCCCAAGTCACTCTGAGTAAGTCACATAACCGCTTTATGCTTCGATTTACCTTTCAGTAAAATTGGCATGATTACCACTCAGAACAGGTTTGAGGCCTTAAAGGGAAATTATGATGTGTGAGTATACATTTTTTTTTTTTTCTAATGTACATTTCACATATGGTGACACATATACAAAAGCTCTCACCTCAGTGTGTCTAGCAAACTGACCAAATTGAGATATCCAGATGTGTGAAGTGGAGATAGCTAAAATATCGCTCAAAAGGGACCACAAGGCAAAGAAATAGGTAAAATGACTAAATGGGAAAATGACTAAAATGGCTAAACTGATATAATACTGATGACTTTTGATCCCTAATGTGCTACTTTGGGATTAGGTGGTTAATATAGGAAGGCTTAACTCTTTGGATGTTAAATGCAGAACATTACACAGTTCCCAAAATGAAAGGGAGTATAATTCTAAATAGGTAAAAAGCTACTGGCTGTGGAATACTACTTTGAGCTAAAATGAAGTTCTGAAAATGATCCTTTTAGCCTAATATATAGAGCGAGTAAAAAGTCAGCAATATGCTACAGAAATCTGTAGAAGAACTTGGAAGAGATGATATTTCTTAGAGCAAAATTACCATGGAACTACTGGTATTCAATTATTTAGACAGCCTGACTTTTTATTATTGCAGCAAAAATATGTTACAGCTCAGAAGTACTTTTAAAAACTCGGAAAGTCATGCTTGTCTCGTTTATATTACTTGACTGAGAGATCAATTCTGATTTATTGTCAGTTGTTTCCATATCAGCCTTTCCTCAGATTTAGCTGTGGAGGAACATATTTTTGCTGAAAAACAGAGGGTTCTTTCCGCATGGTTTTCTTTTCCTCTGTATGGAGAGCATCCGTACCTGTTCATCCCTGCCCTGACCCTAGGAAAAACCTTTGCAGTTAGGATCTGTGACAGTGTAGGGCAAGAGAGTATAACATTGAGTGTTGAGCCTTAGAGGGAATCCAGTCAAAACTAGTGGACTTTTAATACTCAACATCCCTTAGAAAGTTTCTTGGGGATCATTTCCACCAGAAAGACTCCTAGGAGAATTTCCAAGATAGTAACCCAAATCTGGCAGGAATTTTCAGGGCCTTTCTGTAGAGGCATCTTGACTCTTCCCAGTTGCCCTGAGATCTGGTCTTTCTGCAGACAATTGTTCCTTCCACTAGCTGTGATTGAGTTATGGGTGCAAGTAAATATATGTATTTGCTCGCTTAGTATACCTTCTCCTTTATTCCACAAGTCTAACACCATATTTTTGTGGTAAAGGCTGATAGTGGTTTTTGTGTGTTTTGTTTGCGTGTTTTCTTTTTCCCGTGTTTGGGTGTACTTTAGTGAAAGGGAAACTTAAGAAAATGCTCTAATTTCTTTGGTTAAAACATAAAAAAACAGGGTATGTCCCTTAAAGTATACTACCTTACTTTACAAGAGGCTCAGGTGATTGCCTTCTATTCACTGTGTGTATGTGGAGGTTGAGAAAGCATGGTGTGTTCATGCTTAAAAAAAAAAGAGATCAGTGTGGTGACTTACCAGGGCATTTGAAAGTTGAAGGATAAGAATGTCAGAGAAACTGAAAAGGCTTAAATGCCTAGTGCTTGACGATTGCCAGTATGATTTATGTCCCTAATGTCTGTAAACACCTTTAAAAATAGCAACTTGAGTATCTGTATGTTTAAAAAAAAAAAAGAAAAAGAACTGGATATAACGAGATAAGGGAACTGTAAAAAGTATAAAATATAACAGAATCAACTAAAAAGAAAAAAGAAACTTTAATAGCTGATGCCACAATAATGTTTTAAATTGAATGAAATTTGAGTGAAAGAGAGAATGAGAGAAACACAGAGGAAGTATAACTTGGAAAAACAAGAAAAATTGGTATAAAGTGTTCAGGTGAAGTTTATGGAGCAGAAGGAAAGAGACTAATAGCCTATTACGTTCAAAACCCTTTGAGACTACTGGGATTTGCATTTGTAGCAGATAAAAACCCTTTTCTTCTCATTTCACCTCTTATGTCCACCTCCCATGCTAAGGATGTATGCATCAAATTCAGCACCAGCCTTAATTGCTATAACTGCTATAATTGCTATGGGTTACTCACCATTGAATGGTCTTCCTCTGAATTTAGAGTTATCAACATGCTTCTTTTTTTTCTCTTTTAAATTCTTACTTATTAGTTCCTTTATGAATTTATTTTTTTACCTACATGGATATGTAAAGCCTCTCTTGTATGTTTACATTTTTATGTCTTCTACCTCAAGCTTCCTGAGCCTTTGGTTCATTCCCAGCACTGGCAGTGGCTGGGGGTGATCGTTATGTCATTTTGCTTCATTGGCTCACTGTCCCCATCTGTAGCATGGTGTTGAGGGTACTTGCCTGCTTTGTACAAAGTTTTGAAGTCTGGTAGAAAAAAAGGACTCTAGCAAAAACATTTAGCTGTTAAGGTTAAGAAATTGAATGAATCAGTATTAAAAACTGTATATTCCTAATTGTATGAGAGACCATCCCTTCAGAGCTTGTTTGGAATTGTCAATGGAGAACTATGTCCCACTTCCACAGTACAGGGGACATGAAGGGGGAAAGAAGGTCAGGACTACATTAATTCCCTCCTTATTGACTATCTATATTATTAGTTCTTATTAATGAAAGCCTTGCTGGAACTTTCAGAACATCTGAGCTGGTTCGTATTTCTTATGTTTCTGCACTTGGGTGGATTCTGCACAATATAATAATGATCCAGCTGTGAGAGCAAAAATAAGGGAGCCAGGCCTCCAGGGTGGTATTCCTAACAACTCACTAACTCGCAGTGAGCTCCTGAGGTGTAAAGCTATTTGTTCTTGTTTGACCATGTATGCAGAGAATACCGTAACAACTAACTGCCCTTGTAGGCTTAGTTAGATAACGACTGTAAGGAGCTTTATGATTATCTTCATCTTCATCCTTGGCAGGAAGATCTTCTGTAAGTGTGAAATGATGTTGTTATTTAGTTTATTTTATGACAGGGATCATATCTTTTATAAAGCAATCTGCAATTCTTTCCCAAGCTGGCTGTAATGAAGGCAGAATTAATGGTTTACACGCATGCTGTATTTCACAAGAAACATTCTGTTCAAAATGATAACATTTACAATTGGTTTTTCATTTCTGTCAGTTGGTATGTTTTCATTTTTTTAAATTAGATTTTCTTGAAATATCATCTGCTTCATAAACAGTCATACTTGTTTCCTCCAGCACTTCTGAGGCAGATTGCAGAAGTCACTGTAAGTAGTTTTGTGATATGTTTCACAGTTGTTGAAACCCCATGTTTGAAGTCTGATACAGTGCTTTAATTGGGTTTGTTACTTTTAGACAGAATCTCATCATTATCATGATGAGAAATCCTATGCTTATTCATTGCAAAAAGGAACTGTATTTTTAGGGGTCTGCAGTATTAAGTGCTTTCATCTGCAAGAATATTGCCAAGTCACCTCATATGCTGCT